GACAATGATAAACTTACCGAAAAGCCGTGTTTTTCTCGGTCGGTATAATCCGCCATTTTATTTGAGTGTGTTTGCCATCAGACTCTGCCCGGTGACGCCATCATGTGCGCTATAGAAGGAGGTCTGTGATTCGTTGACTAAAATCGTCGATAGTGGGTCTCGTTGAAATCTCGTTACATAGGCATCGGTTCAGATGTAGGTAGGGCGGAATTAAAAAAAATCACAAAATCAAAGTAAAATAATAAAATAAAAGGGCATTAATAACAAAAGTAATAAAAAATAAAATTAAAATAAGTTTATAGCCAAAATAATTAAAGCCCGTACACTACATCAGATTTTAATCAGATTGCCACGCCCGTAACTTTATTGTAAAGACCACAAATTAAAGCGATCAGATTATGATCAGTTCCTTCAATGTAGCTGCCATTGAAGATGAATATTTCCATTGTGATAGGGGAAAAAAGTTTTTAAAAGTCACACACTCCAACAACAAACCGCTTCTGTGACGTAATATTGACGGACATGGATGAAAGCATTTTCACGTAAGCAATGATTTTGGCGCACATTTTAAATCCGGGGAAATTAAAAATAAACTAAAAAAACAACAAAAAACATACAAAAACTAGATCGGGTAACTCAACAACCTTCAAGTTGATACATAGAACAATTTAAGAAGATTCATTAAAGAGTCATAACAGTGTGTGTAATTAAATTATGATGAAGAAATTATGATGAAACGCACGACCAAGAATTCTTAAAATCAAACATAGAAAATGAAAGTGTCCTACAACATTTCGATGTTAATTTGTTTAATTAATTGTATTTAGTGTTAAACGAAATAAAATGGTTATCATAATGAAGGAATTTACAATATTGTTTAGGTCAAGCTCAAGTGTAGTCTATACTGGCACACCAAATTCTAAATCTAGCTCATTTTAAAACAAAAATGACTAAACACGTGTAACATTTATGATTAAATTCATTGTTTCTCCATTTTTACAACATTCTAAAAATGTGTTTTTTATGAGCATTTTTTTTTGTTTTTTGCAATTTGAGTAACTTAGCAAATGCTGATGGAGAAAATGATAAATATATTAATCACATATGAATGCGGCCAATCGTATATTTAACACTCTGCTTGTCAAATAGAAAACAAAAGAATTATTATCATTGTTAAATTCCTATCTAATACCCACATAACCCACCTCGATTGCCACAACCATTAAAATGAGTATGCACGTAATTTCTAGTATTGCATGAACATTGCATACACAATTTACACCATTAGTTAAACTGGACAAGGATGCATGAGAAATGTAAGGCAAGAATATAGATGGATAACTTTAATTTAATAATTTATTTATTTATCTGGTCTTATTTACAAAAAGATAAGACTGCCCTACTGGAAATACAAATCACTACAAAGCAAAAAATACAATCCTGTTTAGAGACAAAATGCACAGGTGTCAGTAACTTCTCACTATGCACTGAGATGGGTAGATCATAGATTGAATATCAGAGCTTATCAACCTTGTAACTGTATAATTTGAATTCTTCTGTTGCATCATCTCCTCTTTTTGAAACAACGAACCCAGCATGCACAATAAACAATTGTTTCTGTTCTTCGTCACTTGAAAACTCATCTTGTCTGTTATGTGTGACAGTTAACCGTTTTCTATCATTCATTGATTCCCATCTATATGTATATTTCTCTCCTTTATGAATAATTAATGAATTCCTTTGACTAGATAATAGACCATATATATACTCACAATGTTGACAGTAACATTTCGACAGTGACATAGGTGTCAACACATTTTCATTATTTGAATTTATGTAAGTGAAATTCTTGAGTTTATGTTGTATCTTGAAAAGATGGATTCTAATTTGCTTTTTTTGACAACTTTCTATATCAAATCTTTGAGAATATTGCTCCAAATTACAGGGCTTCTCATTGGTGTGTGTTCTCATATGCTGTTTGACATGACTTGAACGCGCAAAACTTGTCCCACATAGCTCACAGTGATAAGGCTTTTCTCTCGTATGTGTTCGCATATGCTGTTTTAAAATATTTGACTGAGTGAAACTCTTCGGACACTTCTCACACTGATAAGGCTTCTCATTGGTATGTGTTCGCATATGTTGTTTGAGAGTACTTGATTGGGCGAAACATTTCTCACATTGCTCACAGCGATAAGGCTTTTCTCCCGTATGTGTTCGCATATGTAGTTTGAGAGTACTCGAAGTTGCAAAATCTTGTTCACATTGCCCACAATGATAAGGCTTCTCACCAGTGTGTGTTCGCATATGCTGCTTGAGATGACATGAACGGGCAAAACGTTTCCCACATATCTCACAGTGATAATTCTTTTCTCCCGTATGTGTTCGCATATGCTGTTTGAAATTGCTTGATTTGGAGAAACGTTTACCACATGGCTCACAGAGATAAGGTTTCTCATTGGTATGTCGTTGCATATGCAGTTTGAGATGTTGTGACTGAGTAAATCTCTTCTGACATTGCTCACAGTGATAATTCTCATTGGTATGTGTTTGCATATGCCGTTTGAGATGACATGATATTGTAAATGTCTTCTCACACTGCTCACATTGTAAAGGTTGTTTATGGGGTTGCATATGCCGTTTGAGATAGCGTGACCGGGTAAAACTCCTTTCACAGTGCTCACAATGAAAAGGCTTCTCATTGGTATGTGCTTCCATATGCCGTTTAAGATGACCTGGCCGGGAAAAACTCTTCCCACATTGCTCACAATGATAAGGCTTATCACTGTCATGTCTTTGCATATGCCGTTTGAGATGACTTGACCGGGTAAATCTTCTTTCACATTGTTCACAATGAAATAGTTCCTCATTGGTATGTATCCGCATATGTTGTTTGAGATTACTTGGCTTGATAAAACTCTTCTCACATTGATCGCAATGATAAGGCTTCTCATTGGTAGGTGCTTGCATATGCCGGTGTGTATGTGTTCCTATATGTTGAATGAGATGATTTGACTGGCTACAACTCTCACATTCCTCACTGTGATAAAGTTGTTCATTGCTATGTGTTCGTATATGTTGATTGAGATGATTTGATTGGGTAACACGTTTCTCACATTGCTCCCAATTATGCTTTTCCATATTTATTTATTTTTGAAGAAAAGCACCACTGACCATGTTCACAAAGGGTCGTTATTTCCTACCGTTCAACATTGTTACTCCTTTACTGCATAGCATTGATAAGGAAGATTAATACTAATTCATAGTTGTGAGAATAGCATTGAAACTGTAAAAGAACAAAATACATTTATTAAGAAAGATGCCTATTAGCATAATTTCAAAAGTACTGTATTTTTGTTTACCAACGGCACCGAGATAACATATCAAAATACCCTTGTTAAACCATTGTGTATGAGTAACATTACCAGGATAACCAACATCTAGAATTAGAATTACATTTAGGTTCAAAAATACCGCTAAAATCATCACTTCATTGCGGATATTCAATTCATATGGCTAACATTTTTTAGAAGAAGTCGAAAATTTAATCACCGAATCCACGATTGCAGCTCGCTAAACACACAGTTACACCGTCAAAATAAAGGACTTAAACACTTAAACACGCTTGGGGCGAAATGACAGTGTTCAAGTAGTGGGATTGCGTTTTTAAACATGGAGCATGAGGCGTATTTACGTGCGAATTCTCTCCTAAAATGCTACACTGGAATGCATTGCCTGAACATGAAGACCATGCAGGAAAATGGCAGACTCAATGTACAGTAATAATACTGATTGTCTTTATCGCAATTTTATTCAAACAAGGATATCCAACAAAATGGTGTAAATCTATCAAAACAAACACAATATTATGTTATTTACATTAATATAACAACGTAAAACATGTAGACGTCGCATTAGTTACATGTGATTATAATACCTAATTATTGGGGTCT